TTCAGTACTATTTTCATTTCTATTAAAAAAACTACTAAGCTCTAATAATGATACATTTAGTGTGATTTTTGGTGGGGTACAGTCTAGTATAAGCTAATAATGAGGTTACATTATACAAAAGTTCTGGCTTTGGTGTCAGCTGACCCTAGAGTCTATCACAGCTATGCCACTTACAGCAGTATGAACAGACATGTTACTTAATGTCTCTTAGCCTGTTTTCTCATCTGCAAAGTGAGAACAGTTACCGCCCCCCCCCCATAGATTAATGGTAAAGATTAGATGTTGTTGTTGTTAAGTGCCAAGGAGCAGCTGGTGAATTTGAACTGCCGACCTTGCGGTTCAAACCAACTTTGCAGTTCAGCGCCACACCAGGGCTCCAAATAAGATCATGTATTTAAAGCACTTAGCCCAGTATTTAGTAAATATTAAATGTTCATCAAATATTGGCTGTTTTTTACCACTTAGGATAAGCACTGGACTGCTAACCGTTAGGGGTTCAAACCAAACAGCACCTCCGTGGAAACCCTCTACAGGACCACTGTGAGTTGGAACCGACTTGATAGCATTTACCAAGAACACTACTACTAGGAAAAGCAGGAAAAATTCTGAGAGAATTTAATGTGAGTAAAATTATTTAGTCTGAAAAAGGGAAATTTTAAAAAGTGATGTGAAGATAGTCATCAAATTCATGAAAGATTATTCATTTTAATAAGGGACAAAACAAACACTGCCCTTAATGGAAGGAGACAGATCTAGAATTCATGGCTTTAAATGAAGAGAGATTTGAGTTCTATATAAGGATGAACTTCAAGACTGTGAAGAGAGTTATACAATACTGGCTCTATTTTAGGTTACTTGGGTGGAATCACAGTTCCTTCATATACTTCAGAATTGTGCAAACAAATATCTTAGATGACTTGTAGCTCATTTTTTCTGGTGTAAGGAAACTAAAGGAAATCGTCTTCAGAACGCTCCCTCTTCTTGAAGTGTTAAGTGCCTTTGTTCGTTGTTGTTAAAGTCCAGTCAGTTCTGACTCATAGCGACCCTGTATAGGGTTTCCAAGGAGTGGCTGGTGGGTTTGAACCACCGACCTTGCGGTCGAGCGCTTGTCCTATAGCGTCACACCAGGACTCCAATAGTGACCCTGTGTAGGGTTTCTGAGGAGCACCTGGTGAGCTTAAACCGCCAACCTTGTGGTTCAGACCGACCTTGAGTGCTTAGTAGCATTCGATACTCTCTGACACAGACACCAATTAGAACATTAACTATCTGATGTTGGTGTGGCACTGCAGGATAATACACTGGACTGCAAGGTCAATTTGAACTGCAAGGTCAGCAGTTCAAACTAAACAACAGGTACTCTGAATAATCTCACCGTCTAGTTGTATCCAGAAATGTGTTCTTCCAATGTCACCTTAAACTAAATTGAAAAATTGAAGATAACTCATAATTTTACCCATGAACTTGCACGTCTTGATCTCCATATCGCTTCAGTAGGAACTGGAAACCACTCTGGAAGCTATATCTATCTGTCTAAACTGTAAAAACTGGGCTTTAAAGTAATAAAAGCCTAATACTCTGGCAGAATCTTCCTGGTCCATGTTGCTGCAATAGATTTAATGATGAAAGAAAAGACATCTCTTTTACTTTGTCATTAAGTCTACACCTCCTGGTCCACTGAGACCTCCCATCCTCACAAGACTGACGCATCTGGTCACCTATACACTGTCACCTCAAGTGCCAGCCTCTTCTCACTAGACTTTTCTCTAAGGCAAGTGAGCCCCTTTGGAGCCAACACGGATACACATTGAAATCTGTCTTGGAAGCACTCAGAGGCTAGTCGATGATTTTTCGTGGGTATTCATGACCTACTTTTCACCTAGAAACCCAGATGAACAGGAGCCAGAGCAAACAGGCACACCGGATAAAATGCCTTAAACAGTCAATTAGGGAGGCTGATTATCTAGTTAATAGGGAGATTATCAGTTAGATAAAGCTCTTCACTTTTTTCCCCCCTTCTGATTTGATTTATGGCTCTTTTATTGCTTAAGCAATCTATGCACAGAAAAGGAAAGAAGAAAATGAGAATCTGGAATTTTGATTACTTTATAGCACTTCATGTAAAAAATAATATAATGGAAGGAGCAAAACTAAAGGCTGAAAGTGGATATAAATTTTTTCATGGTTGCATATATAAATGCTACCCGCATACCCCCTATATAAGTTATTTTAATTTTAAAATTTTGTGGGGAAAGGGAGGAAGTAAAATTATACACCCAGGGTTAGATTTTTTTGGCTTGTTCTGCTAGGTACCCACAGCCTCAAAACAGTTTCTGAATCACCTTTTCTAAGGTTAAGCTCCTTATATCTTTTATAGCACTGATTGATCCCATAACACTACTGTTGAATAAGTTATCATCTCTGCATTGTAGTTGGAGAAGAGGCAAAGATGTTAATGACTTGGCCAAGGCTATATAATGTATCAGTGGCAAGGTTATTATTTAAAGAAAAACCAACAAAAAAACAGGTCTCATGACTTTCCAGCCCAGCATGCTTTTTGTTAGCCTGACCCTTTTTCAATGATATTATCAGGATCTTAGTATTATTATTTACAAAGAAAAAGAACAAGAATTGCATTGGTGGCTACTACTGATCAAGTCCTAACTGTGTGTCAGGCTCCATGCTAAATCCTATGTATAACCTCTTTTAATTCTGGTAAATAACCTGTGAGACAAGTACTGTCATTATGTCCTTTTATAGGTGAGAGAAACATGGCTTAGAGAAGTCAGTAACTTGCCCCAAGTCATTGAGCTAGTTAAGTGTCGGAGCTGAGACTCAAACCCAAACCCAAGTCTATTCCTATAGCTTACGCTCGTAACTACTCCTTAGATCATGAAAGAAACATAAGCATTTATAATACACGACACTTGGGAAGAAAGTGAACTCCCTACACTATGACATTAAAAATTCACCGCAACAATTTATAATAGTGAAACTTGTACAAAGTTCTGATAGCTTCTTCACAAACAGGTACAAATAAATGAACTCTCCAGTGAATGGAGCAATACTGTTAGATGCATGTTACTGCTGCCTTTAAAACTAGACATTTGTTAACAGTATTTTACAGTTAGGCATCAAAACTGCTGCTGTGCTGATTACAGCAGCCTGCCAAGTGACAGAAAGTGCTAACAAGTCAGGATACAGATGCATTTTACAGGAATATCCATAATGCAGAGGGTAAAATACTAGAGCAGTCAGGTTTATAGCACAACCGCTTGCAAGTAAATAGCATTCGTTCTTTCTATTTGAACTTGTTTTTTAAGGACTAGGAAATAAAAACATACTGCTCTGGTTCAGAAAATATCAGTAAGCCATAGTAATATGAATAAATGAAAACTCCCAAATAAAAACCACACATATTTTATAAAATGGCAGTTTCTATTGCTATCTAGACTCCTGATGTGACCACTGTAGGATCAGCACTGGACTTTGAACCGTAAGGTCGGCAGTTCAAACCCACCAGCTGCTCCTCAGAAACCCTATACAGGGTTACTATGAGTCAGAACCGACTTGACAGCACTTAACAATTGCTGCCTACAGTTTGGTTGGTGTGGAAGATAACCATTTTACAACAGAAACAATGTGACCTCTGAATTCCCATTTATACTAAAACCGATACTAGCTATGGTTTGGAACTATTTCTTACTCTAAAACCCAATCTTCAGAGTTATCTTTGACTTGATAGTTCTGATACTAAATCCACTGTTGTAGATCTCAGGGACATAGCGATCCTATAGGACAGAGTAGAACTGCCCCACAGGGCTATGGTAGCATAGTGGGTTATGAGTTGGGCTGGTAACTGTAAGGTAAGCAGTTTGAATCTAGCAGCCCCACTCTGCGAGAGAAACACGAGTTTTTTTGCTCCTGTAAAGATTTATAGTTTGCCTTCTTTGATTGGTTGTTGGTGTAAGGGTTTCCGAGGCTATGAGTTGAAACTAACTCCATGGCACCTAAGTACCACCAACCAATCTTTATGGAAGCAGACTGCCATTATCTTTTACTTGTGGAGTGGCTGGAGGAGTTCAAACTGCTGACCTGGCTAGCAGCTGAGCACTTTAACCATGGAGCCACCAGGACTCACTTTTTAAATACTAGAGGACTACTTTATAAAATATATTGTCCCTGATCATCAAAATGGTAACTCCTGCCATCCCATAACCATTTCATCCCCAAACCATTATCTTAGATTCTCTGTGAAATATGAGATTACTCAGTGCCTAAGAACATCATTATATGTTCTATCAAACCCATCTTTACAGTACGACACACTTGTGGATGAAATTACAATAAAGAGATAAAGTGAGAAAAATGAAAATAAATCTTTCAGTTAATTAATAAACCATACTGTATCATGAATGCCAATTGAGATATTATTTTTCCAATAGAGCAATAGAATTAATATCTTGTCAATCATGTTTCTGATAGTGAAGACAACAACAGGAACATTACTCTATCTATCATAGCTTCGGAAAAACTCTGAAATTCACTGACAGATACCCAAAGTGCTGTGTTATACAGCTGATGTACAGCAAGTGTTACATTTTCTTCCTGAAATGGCAATATCATTTTCATCTGTGATGACATTAGTGACCTTATGATGGAAGATAAAAACAAATCAGAACGTAATTACGTGAGATGTAATTGAATGAAGACTTTAATACTCAAATGAAGCAAACTGCTTGTTTTCTAAGTAAACACAGTCTCCAAAAAGTCATTCTTCCAGGAAAAAAGGAAATAGAATAGTATGTACTACTGATTCACTCCTTTTTAGTTGAGTAGTAAATAAGTTAGACCCATGTTTGAATTTTGCTGACTCAGAAAATAGATTGCAATTTAAACATTATACCCATTTAATAATGCAAAACTCTCTTAAAACTAGCAATTTCTTCCTTACGAGTTTAATCATTTTTTATCATCAAGAGGCAAAAATACCGACTTACCAATTTTGTGCCTCTTTTTATTTCCTTTTGGACATCTTCAATAGAAAATCCACCAAGACTCTCATTATCAGAGTGTGATGATACCAAAGCAGATGAAAAGAGCTATAAATTACATTACAAAAAATTAAGGTTCGCACATAAGAAAATTAAGAGTAAAACAGTGAATAAGACAGTTACATGTAAAAGGACATTTCATAGTTAAAATACCATAGAATTAGCAATTAACAATTCCTTATAAAAATGTATGCCAAATCTCTCTGTTACTATTCAGGAAGGAATACTGATTTTCTAGCACTATGTGAGGAATCAGGTGTTACGGTGGCTGCCCATATACTTACCATACATTTATGGTGTGCTGCCACCTTCTGGTTTTCCGAGACTAGTAACTGTCCACATTCCTTATCTCTATTGGACTTACAAAAGCCACATTTGCGCTGTCTTGTAGGCCCCTTTTTCTGTTCAACTGAGCTTGACATGATTTAAAAATCGCCTTTAGAATTCCGCTTTCTAAGTATCAAAAAATGCTACAGAGAATAAGAAGGGCAACAAAATGGTTAATATCATTTTTAAACCAGGTAACATATATAAATCCATATAAGTTACTTAATATTTGATCTAAGTATGAATATAATCATTTTCAAATGGCTACTTATTATTTTAAAGTCAGTATTAAAACCTAAAATGCCTAAGAAAAAACACATGGAGATGATGAAATAAAATTTAAAGTACCTGGGAAAAGAAACTGCTCCCAAAATCAGGGAAATGTCAAATAACTGAAACTATCTTTGTGTGGCTAGGTGGAAAATGTACAATGTATAACATTAAATCATTAACTGCTAATACAATGTAAATTATTCTTTGTATATAAATTAAGTATCCCTTCAAGAAGACAAAGAAACAGATACCAAACAGCAGAGCACAAACTACTTAAAAGACTATTAGAACATCCAGAATGCACAACTCTGTAACTGGACAATTTCTTAAAATGCACACACTGATAAACCAACACAAGTACAATTAATGTATTTTTCCTAATTATGATTTTCTTAGTTTAAAATTTCATTTCCAGGTTCAAATCCATCATGTAATACAATTAAGTTTAGCTATTTATTTTCTCTTTCAAGTAAAGAAAGAAATCAGCTTCTAACAATAGTGTATTCACAACCAGATCTGATGACTTATAAAATAAACTAATTATCGGATAATGAGATTTAAATACTCCAAAAAGCTACTTATTAATTACAGTTGCACACTGATAGTGGTCTTTTAAAAACAGTAACTTCCATACTCAAATTTGGGACAATGTGCAAATAAAGGAAGTATTTTCTGAGTGATCCTTAAATTGCGTGAAATTATAATGACCGGTAGTATTATATAGAATCAAACGAAGGGAAGAAAAGCTCTCACATGGAAGATTTCAGGTTTAGATCATCCATCTCAACATGGATTCTTCAGAATACTAAACACCCTTCCAATTGGGTATCTGATTTGTGGAGGTCTCTGAAATCAACACAGCAAGCAAAACCTCAAATATTTATTTGAAAATAAATTAATTCAATTCCTTTTCTGTGCATTTAAACAGTTTCATAGCACTGTGTTGAAAACACGGACTTACTAACACTACATTGCAGCTAGTTCTGAGAAGGAAGCACTTGTTCACCGAGAATAACAGCAGCCACTGAATGCCTGCAAGGTAATATTTATAAACCAGTCAGCATTCTTCAATATACAAATCAGTATACTTAATATGTCAAGTGAAATCACAAAGAAGCAAGTCCTCTCATCAATGTATACCTTGTTGTTTCTTTTAAACTCAAAACTTCAAAGGCCCTGACAGTATGCCATCTTCCAAAAGGCACAGGAGACTTCACACTGCACTGGCTATAAACCATGAAACTGATTGAAAACAGGCAGCAAATACTTTTAGGATTAAAGAAGAAAAAAAAAGGGCATTAGCAGAGAAACAAAAGACACAAAAGGGGAAGTGTGTTTGCATTTGCTAAGGCAAGTGTGTGTTCAGCTGCTTAATCAAGAGCACAGCTACCAAAACCTCCAGAACCAACTATGCAAAATATAAAAACTCATAAATAGCACAAAAACTTGCGATTTGAAATCCAAATTAGTTGCCTCTACAACGATGCAATCAATAGTTGATGCTCTAAAACTACTGTGAATGCCTTCAGCATTTCTCTTGGTCAGCCTGGCCAGTTGAAAGGCTGGCACTTTATAAAGCTCATCTGGACATGCATCCTTAAGGTGTGATTTCCACATCATCCCAGCACAGGCTACAAAAGTGGTGTAAGATAAATAAGATTCCCAGAGAAGAAAATAACTTTTGACTCGTGAAAATAACTCTGAAAATTGTATCTAAAAAATTCTGACCACGTTGAACTTTGCCTTTCCATTTATAAACAGGTAAAGTGTCCTCATCCTGATTTTGAGAACCAGCCCAAGAGCCCCCAAACTAAAAGAGAAACAAG